AAAAGGTCGGGCAGCATTTGTGGACAGAAATCAGAGTTAATGTTTCTAGTTGAGTGACCCTTCCTCGGAAGCATCTAGACGATGGTATTATCGCTGGACTGTTAATCCAGAAACCTAGATAATGTTCTGGGGACCCGGGTTCAAATCCCGCCACAGTAGAAGGTGGAATTTGAATTCAATAAATATCTGGAATTAAGAGTCTAATGATAACCATGAATCCACTATCGATTGTTGGGAAAACCCATCTGGTTCACTAATGTCCTTTAGGGAAGGAAACTGCCATGCTTACCTGGACTGGCCTACGTGTGACTCCAGACCCAGTGCAATGCGGTTGACTCTTAACTGCCCTCTGGGCAATTAGGGATAGGCAATAAATGCAGCCTAGCTAGCGACGCCCTCATCCTGTGAATATTTTTTTTTAAAAGAAATCCATAGACACAGATAATGTTGTGGGGATGAGGAATCCAATTCCTCCATAACGGGAGAGGAAGATACCTTTCCTTTTCATAAAAAAAAACAGGAAGTCTAAAGATTGTCGTTTAAAAAAAAACTATGGTTCACTAATACTCTTTTGGAAAATAAATCTCCTGTCCTCACCTGGTCGGCCTACCCATGAATCGAGAACCAGAGCAATGGGGTTGACTCCTCAGTGGCCTTGTAAGCCACTCAGTTCTATCAATGAACTAAAATGCCTCAAATGAATGCAATTGGATAGACTACCTGGTATTGAGTGAGGACCAGAAACGAGAAAAGCAAAGATAATCCTATCATGCCTGCAAAACTCTCCACAGTGCCAAAATTGCAAGAGCTTTCTGGTAGACTAGTGAACCAATACCCTAACTGACTGAATCGTACTTTACAGCCCATGTCCTGGACAGTACCATCACCATCCCTGTAGACCCAATATGTGTGGCAGCCCAGTGGGATACAGGCTAGGGGAAGGTGCCTTGGAAGTTCTCAACTTTGATTCGAGTCACCATGAAATCTCATGGCACTATGCTAAACATGGGTGAGGAAACTTCCTGATGATCAACAATTAGCACATTCAAGCCACAACACCAACCCTTTCCCAATCCAGGTGATGAATCGGTACTCTTCCATGTCAAACAACTTATGGAGAAAGCACTGAGGGTGGCAAAGGTGCAGAATGTATTCTGGGTGAGGAAATTTAATGTATGTTACAAAGAGTGGCTTGGTAGCACCACTACTGGCCAAGCTGGCCATGTCCTAAATCTTCTAACCTAAGTCTGTAGCAGCTGAAAAAGGAACCTAAAAGTTGCATTTTGTTGTCCCCAATCAGCCTGCCTCAGATACATCTGTCCATTACAATATTCGGATGAGTGATCGCCTGTTAGTCCGTGTGAATCATCTTCACAATGAGGATAACTTCCATCCTGTTTGATGGCACTACCAGCATGTTACATGGGTAAGGTTTCAAACAGACCTAGTATCTCAAAGCTGGGCATCTATGAAGCGCGGTGGGGACATCTGCAGCAGTAGAATTGTATTCCAACTCATTTTCTACCTCATCAACTTACATTCACACCCCACTCCTCCGCTGCCATTAATCTAGAACTAACCCTGATTCAATAAAGTATTTCAGGAAGGCATTTTAATTTATTCATTCACAAGAAGAGAACGTTACTGGCTAGGTCAGCATTCATTGGTGGTCTCTAATTGCCAAGAGGCCAGTTAAGAGTCATTCAGATGCTGAGGATCTGTAGTCACATGTAGGCCAGACCAGGTAAGGATGGCAACTTCCTCCTCTCAAGGACAGTAGTGAAACCGGTCATCATTAGACCATTAATTCCAGATTTTTATTGAATTAAAATTCCATCTGCAGTGGTGGGATCCGCATCCAGGTCTCCAGAACATTACCTGCGTTTCTGGATTAACAGTTAAGTGATAAATGCCACTAGGCCATCACCTCCTGTCATTCAGGGAGTAGCACAGAACATACGTAAAATGAGTTGTTAACCAGGTGAAGCTACAACACGTGACTATTTGCATATCAAATAGTGGAAACCTTACGCGAGTGACAGGATTAAGAGGTTTTACAAACAATGTATCAACTTTAAGTCCTGTCACATCCAGTCAGGAATTTTGGTACACAATATTGAAGGTACAGAAGGTGGGAGCTCCATCAATCTCCTAATCCTTAATGATGCAGAACCCCAGCACATGCTGAGTGAATAGATACATTTTGATCTCCTCTAGAGACCTCCAGAATCCCATCTGCCAATCTCAGCCAATAAAATTTATTCCACGTGAAATCGAAAAATGGTTGAAGAAACTGAACACTGACAATATTCCAGCAATGGTCCTGAAGGCTCATGAGCCTCTTCTTGCTTCACGACAGCCAAGCTCTTTCAGTACAGATACAACACTGGCATCTACCAGCAGCGTGGAACCACCCAAATATGTCTGTACCCAAAAGGCAGGACACATCCAAAACTGACAATTATGGCCGAGCAGTCTATTCTCTATCACCAGCATAGTGATTGAAATGATCATCAACAGTTCTATCAAGCACCACAATAACCTGAACAAAGAGGTTCTGTTTTGGATTCAACCAGAGCCACAGTTTTGTTTCAAATCTGGACCAAAAGGCTGAACTCTAAATTTGAGGTGAGAGTGATTGTCCTTGACATCGAAGCTACATCTAACATCATGTGGTATGTCGGTAAAACTAGAGTCAATGGTAATCCAGAGACTACCTTATGCTAATTGCTGTCATCACTAGCATAAGCAAGATAAGTATGGTTGTAGGAATTTGGTCATCTCAGCTTCAGGACATCTCTGCAGGAGTTTCTCTAGTTAGTATCTTAGGCCCAACCATCTTTACCTGTGTCATCAATGAACTTCTCTCCATCATTTGTTAAATTTTGTGATGTTCACTAATGATCGCACAATTTTCAGCACTCTTCATGCCACCTTAGATACTGAAATAGCCCGTATTAATATGTTGCAAGACCTGACAATATCCATGTTTAGGCAGGGAAGTGGTAAGTATCATTTACGCCACACTAGTGCAAGGCAGTGACTATCTCCAACAGTTGAGAATCTAATGTTTGCCTCACAACATTCAGTGATATCATCATCAATGAATCCCCAACTATCAACATCCTAAGGGTTAACATTAGCCAGAGACTGCTCTGCGCTAACACCAAAAAAGTTATGGTGAACGAGCAGATTAGAAACAAGGAGTAAGTGGTGTGTAACTCATTTCCTTGCACCCCAAAGCCTGCCCACCAACTATAAGGGACAATTCAGGAGTATGATGGAATATTCACCATCTACCTGGATGAATGCAGCTCCAACAACACTCAAGAAGCTCGACTCCATAAAAAACAAAGCAACCTGCTTGATTGATACCACATTCATAAGCGTTAATTTCCTCCATCATGATGTTCAGTAGCAGCAGTATAGACATCTACAAGAAACACAACAAAAATTCACCAGTGATCCTTAGACTGCACCATCCAAACACAAAACCATTACCACAGGAGGACATGTTACAGATTAATTGGAACATCATCAACTGCAAGTTCTACTGCAAGTCATTCACCATTCTGAGTTGGAAATATGTCATTATTTCTTGACTCTTCCTGGGTCAATACTGTGCATTCCTAATAGCACTTTGGGTATCTTTACACCACATGGACCACAACGGATTCAGAAGACAGCTCACCATCACCTTTTCAAGGCAGTTGGGAATGGAAAACAAATTCTGGTGCAACCAACAAAGCCAACGACCCGAAAATCAAATAAGACAAATGCATCTTCTAAACATTTCTAATCTAAGCTTATCTAACTTCGCCTTAAACACAATTATTTGATTCATCAGTTGCTTATTGTGGCAAATTCCTCATTCTCACCTCTCCCTGTGTGAAAATAAAATCTTCTAACCTTTTCTATCACTTTAAAGGTGAACGTAGATGTTTGTGGGTCTCTGTTTTGGATCCCTCTGGAAATGCCATCCACCCTATCATACTCTTCTATTAACTTAAAAATAAAGTCAATCAGATCAGCCCCTTTGTCGTAAATTTTTTAAAAATTATTCTCAATACCTATACTTTCTCAATTATGGTTTTATCTTCGTAGTCCCTCTTTGCATCTTCTCCAGTTTGTCCTAGCTCACCACCACCTTCATTCTCCATCCTATTCTCCTTTCTGTCTTCGACCTTCTCTATCTCAGGCTTCCTATGACATACGTTGCTTTCTTGCAGACTGTGGGAAAAGAGTAATCTACTACCGGGACATCTGGTCAACACACTGTGTGAGACAGTCAGATTACAAATTCAGTGCATGTTTTAAGTATGAAAACAGAAACTGTGTGAAACTTTTCGGAGTTAGTCTTATAACTGTTCAGACTGATTCCCTTGAGCATACACAGAAAACATGTCGTTATCCTGAATCTCAGTCATTTATCAGTTTGTCAAGTTGAATGACAACACACCCCTAACTAACCCTATTGGGAGTCTTTCTGTCCATGGGTTATGTCATCATTTTATTGTCCTTACTAAAACCTCAGCGCAAGATCCATGGAGAAATTTGGATTAAGTGTGTGTGTATGTTTATGTCTGCATGTGTGCGTGTGTGTGTGTGTATGTGTGTGTATATGTGTGTATGTGAGTGTGTGCATGCGTGTTTGTGTATATGTGTGTGCATGTGTGCGTGTATATGTGGGTGTATATGTGTGAGTATGTGTGTG